GGCAAAGAGGCATTCCATCTTAGTCCTCACGGGTGACAACGCATCTGCATCTTGAGTCTTTATTGAGGATAGATGTAGATGTCTATGGGTCACAGTAACCACTTACCATCAGGTGGACTGTGTGCTCGTTTGTCACCCGATCCTATAAAAAAAAAATATTTTATATTGTACTTATTTATGTATATTTGTTTATAATGTCCGATGATGATTCATTCTATTCTGCTAACGATTCTTCAACAAGCCTTGACTCTTTCGATGAGCCGGAAACTCTCCGCAACGTGCTTGATAAATCTTTAGAACATCTCCCCTCTTCTTTTAAAGTCTGCCATTTGAATGCACAGAGCATACCCTCTCATTACTCTGACCTTTTAGATACTTTCACTTCTGCCTCTTCAAATGTGCAGGCCATTCTAATTTCTGAAAGCTGGCTGAAGCCCTCTCTTTCAAATGTTTCTTACAGCTTACCAGGCTTTGTCTTGATTAGAAATGATAGATTAGGTAAGGGTGGGGGAGGTGTTGCAATTTATCTACGGTCCGACTTACGTTATTCTGTAATTGCATCCTCACCTTCACAATACTCTGCTTCGGCTGAATATTTATTCTTGGAAATTCAGGTGGGGCGCTCCAAATTAGCACTTGGGGTTGTTTACTGTCCTCCTTCTGTTGATTACTTCTCCAGCCTAGAAATGGTCTTAGATTCTGTATGTGCAGACTATACACATCACATTATCATGGGCGACTTCAATACTGACCTCCTCAAAACTTCTTTGCAATCAAGTAAGCTCATAAATATCTTGTCTTCAGTAAATTTATCCATCCTTCCCTGCTCTCCTACTCACCATAACCTTGACTCCCCGGATACCTGGCTAGATCTAATAATCATGTCCTGTCCTAATCTAGTCAATAAATATGGTCAGTTGTCAGCTTCCGGCTTTTCGCGTCATGATTTACTTTACCTTGCATATAGGTTGAAGTTTGCAAAAGTTGAACCCGAGGTACTTTTGGTTCGCTGTTACAATAAAGTTAACCCAACGAAGCTTCTGATTGATGCAAAGGCCATCGACTTCACGCCTGTGTATTGTGCGTCATCAGTTGATGATAAAGTATCTATTTTCACTAAATTAACACTGAAACTGTTTGATGCGCATGCACCGGTGAAATCTATTAAGGCTAAGCGGCCTCCAGCTCCGTGGATAACGAAGGGTGTGCCCATGGCGATGACTCGACGCAACCGAGCTTTCAGATGGTTTAAGCGTGACAGGAGCAATGAGAATTGGGACTTGTACAAAATTGCTCGCAATCGTTGCAACCAAATGGTAAGGGCGGCAAAGCGTCGTTACTTCTTCGACAATATATCTAGTGCTTCTTCGGCGGATACTTGGAAATTTCTTAATTCTCTTGGTCTATGTAAATCCTCCACTATGAAACATAATATCCCATTCCCTCTAAATGACATAAATTCCTATTTTTCTACAGGTTCCTCACTCTCTCCAGTTATTAAGTCCCAGTCAATCTTAGAAATTAATTCCAAGGCCAAACCTTTACAAATACCCTTCTTATTCTCGCTTGTCTCTGTTAACGATGTTCGTAAAACATTTGTTTCTATTAAATCAAAAGCAGTGGGTTGTGATAATGTGAGTCGTGCTATGATCTCTTTAGTTCTCGAACTCTTTCTTCCAGTCATTACTCACATCATTAATTTTTCTCTGTTGTCAGGGGTATTTCCTTCTTTGTGGTGTAAAGCCTATATAATTCCGCTTCCTAAAATTTCAAACCCCTTGCAACTCAATAATTATAGACCTATTTCTATTCTTCCATTCTTATCAAAGACCCTGGAATCTATAGTTCACCGGCAAGTATCAGGTTTTATATATAATAATAACTTGCTCACTCAATTTCAGTCGGGCTTTCGTCCCGGACATGGCACCACCACTGCACTTCTTAAAGTTACAGAGGACATTCGGGATGGCTTGGAGAATAGAAAGGTCACTGTGCTTGTTCTCGTGGACTTTTCTAATGCCTTCAACATGGTTGACCATGATATTCTCCTCGCTATGCTCGGTAATCTAAACTTCTCCTCCATTGCTTTAAATTGGTTCTCTTCCTACCTTTGTGGTCGCCAACAAGCTGTTCGAGTTGGTAATCATTTGTCTGACTGGTGTCAGCTTGTATCTGGCGTGCCACAGGGTGGAATATTATCTCCTTTATTGTTCTCTATTTTTATTAACTTCCTTTCCTCTCAACTTTGCTGTTCTTACCATTTCTACGCCGACGACTTGCAAATTTATACTCAGACTGATGTGGATCACATTAATAATGCTGTTATCAATATTAATACAGATTTATTAAATTTAAGCAATTGGGCTAGCAAATTAGGCATTCTAGTGAATCCTAACAAATGCCAAGCAATTTTAATAGGAAGTGCTCGTCAGTTATCTAAACTTGATATTTGTTCTGTCGCTCCTGTCATGTTTGATGGATCATGCATCCCTTATTCCAGCACTGTGAAAAACCTAGGCCTCTGCATGGACTCAACTCTCAATTGGTCCACTCACATTCAAACAATAAGTGCTTCAGTTACTGCTAAGTTGGGTGCCCTAAATCGCCTTAGAAACTTCCTTCCGATCAAGGTAAAGATAACTCTGGTGCAGTCTCTTATTTTGCCCATTATTGATTATGCTGATGTGTGTTGTACTGATCTTAATGAGAACCTTCTAGACAAGCTGGATCGTCTCGTAAACAATTGTGTCCGATTCATCTTCTGTCTTCGCAAGTTTGACCATGTTTCCTCCTTTAGATTTCAGCTAAATTGGCTTCCCATTCGCCAACGGAGGCAAGTCAGGACACTTCTCACACTTTTTTCTATTTTATTCGACAATCGTTGTCCCGACTATTTGAAACGTAAGTTTCAATTTCTATCTGATACGCATAATAGACCTCTACGTTCTTCGGAGACTCTTACGCTCTCCATTCCACTTCACCGTTCCGGTTTCTCTTCTTCCTCGTTTGCTGTACGAGCTGCGCGACTTTGGAATGCACTGCCTGAAACTTTGAGACAACGCTCCAACAAAGTAACATTTAAAAAGCATGTTAAAGAACATTTTCTGAAAGTCGTAAAGAACTCCTAAGTTGGCGTCATCATCTGAGTTAATCTGTGTTAATAGCTAATTTCATCATAATATGTTTTTTACGTATATATGTATATTTGTGTGTATATATGTATTTATATGTGAATTTGTGTATATATATATATGTGTGTATGTGGTTTGTATATATATATATATATATATATATATATATATATATATATATATATATATATGTGTGTATATGTATGTATGGTATTTGTATTTTTTATTTTTATGTTTATATGCTATAATTCCTAAATTCATTATATTTCTTATTCTGTACTGTTATGTATTATAATAACCGCCTTCGATGTTTTTCCACTCCTCAAGGTTGACAGGCAGAGAATGCTTTAAGCATTATGTCCGCCTTTTGTACTTATATATTTTATAAGGTTCAAAAAAGTTAAATAAATAAATAAATAAATAACAGACTAGGCTAAAGGATTTATTTGAATGGGACCAGTGACGGGCAGCAGTGTCAACGTTTATAACTATTCTTGCGATCTTTAATCCATCTATCAAGCGTAGCGGTTACGGCAAATCTAGGGATAAAGTTCCATCCATGTTCTGGCATTTTATGTCTAGCATATTTTTCTTGTTTTGTGGCGCCTTATGAAATAAGTGGCTTAAGAAACGGCTTTGGAAAATATCGAAAGAGATGACTGTGTAATATTTTTTATATCGTCCTTGTCATTGTAGCCTAAAAAAGAATACTTCTGAACCTATAAGTGACTTAAGGTGTCATATCCTCAGTTGGCGCCTGTTCGAATTCTATAAGTACTCTGGTTCCTGATAATATAAATCAAGGTAGCGATATGTTGCTCGCGTATTGAGCGAAAACGCTGTCATTCAAGTTGATCCATTTACTTGTTACGACGACCTATAAACTTTAGCGGCGTAGTGCGTACTTGAATCTATCCCATCAACCCTGATGTTAACAGTGTTATTAATCAATACATACAAAATTACAAAATTAGTATGGGTATATTATATTCTAATTGTTTTAACAGGTTAAAAATTACATTGCCATCTTTTGGCTACGTCGTAAACTGGAAAGACAACAAGGAAATGTTTCATTAGCAAGTAATAAAATATTTAAAGCAGTCCACTAGATGTCCCTCTTCTTTCGGATCTCTAGAGGCTTCTTAGTTTGGATAATAATATGCAGATGTCGCTGTTACATCAATTTAACTGAATATCTTATAACAAAACTTGATTATAAGCTGTATGTTTAAACAGCTCATAGATGTCGCTTTTCTTATACAAACTTCATCGTAAATATATTAAATATGGCGTTAGTGCTAATATATTTTAAGATTTTATATTTATTCGAGTTTTCTATGCGATGTTTGCCTATTACAGTTTGTATCACCAAAACTTATCCACATCAAAGTATTACATGACTCTCGTTATGTATTTTCTTTAAGAATATTTACTTTGCCAACATTTATTTCTTCAGTTTCTCTCAATACTAGTCTTTCAACTTCCAAAAATTATCAGTATTCTATATATAGGTAGGCAAATTTGACATAATTTGAAAAGTTAAATTGTGCTACGTTTTTGTCTTATTCATCGTCATCAAAGGCATCTCCTCTGTTAATATAAATAAATTTCCCTTACTCGTTAGCTTGATCATAAGCAGATCATGACTAACCTGGATTATATTCTGTATCCAAAATAAAGAAATGTAACTTTATAATGGCATCCTGAGTAGATAGCATTTTAATATCACTTATATTAAGTGCATGCATGGTGTGTTTTTGTATGTCTTTCATTCCATTAAGTGTTAAATATATTTATTTGCTCTTTTGTTGCTACTTCTAATTGTTAGGTTTTAAATTAAGGATAACGAAGAAAAAATTGCGAAATATTGCTTTAATGGAATTTATTTTTCATTATGTCAATGAAAGATTACAGTTTCTAAACAAAAAAATTAACGACGCACGCTATTATAATTACACTGTTAAAACCATTGTAACTCTTTTACTAAAACAGTTAGGAATCAACGAAAAAAAAAATTAATCATGGCTGTATTTATTGTACCTAGCTATTAACTTAATATATCATCAAACATCAGGCTCAATATGAGCTAGCAATGGAGATCCTCGACCAGCGGCCCTTGCCACTGCACGTTTGATAAGGTATTCGTTGAAGGGGAAATTTAAAATGCAAAATTCATTTCTCAGTTGATTTAATTGATTTTGATATCACAGTAGGCAAAGACCGGGCGAAAATCAGAACGAAATTACACTACAAAATAGCATGCGTGTGACGTACTTTTGACGTCATTTATCAACTCTGCAGTTCAATTGATTTTGGACTAAACTCTATATGGAAGAAACAATCAATCAACAATATCGGAAAATAATTTCATCCTGTCAAGTTACGTTTAAATTGTACCATAATTCAGTCTCACTCACAACAAAAACGAATGATATAAAAATACTGCATCAAACGATATTGCGTCCAATATAATGCTCTCATTGTAATTCTCAGGCAGTCGTAGTACATACATATGTAATGGCTTCACGACATATTTGATCGACGTTCATCTAGTATACGATCACGTCTAGAATAAATTAAAGAACTACAAAATGCCCTAAATAGCCAAAAATTTTACATTTAACAAGGCATGATTTTACAATAATTATTGGATTTTCGTCACTAGTATGCGCGACCGCATTTTCCTAAGTTCATTCATTACATTAAATTAATTAAACTAAATTCATTGACTATCACTCATTCATTACAATCAAATTTCAGCGACGGAACAACACACATACATCAGTGTTCTAATACTTATTAATACAAATCTAGGTTTTTTTTTTAAATCACAATGAATTTAAGAATAAAAACAGTTCACAATATTGGTCACTAAGAATTAATTGGTCAAAACGATATGTTCAAAGATATAAGGCGACAATGCCGTGCAGTTGTGAAAAATTTTGATATGGATTTGTAATTACAACCATTAGATCGCGGTTGAGGTCATTTTAGATCAGCATTGAAGATTCCTCTCTTCTCGCTGTTACATGCGCATGTTGCTCCGGAGGTTAATACACGTAGATTTGCTTCAGTTGAGGCTTGAGTTCAGGGGGGATCGTGTAAACCTCCTGTTCGGGCTTCTTCTTCACAAGTCGCTTCCAGCGACCGCCAATATTCTTGCGAAGACTGCGGAAACTTGCCCTTTCATTACCGATTGGCTGCATCAAGTTGTCCTAGAAAAAATAAAAAAGGCTTTAATATAACGGTACTTTAAACTGCATCTATTGTTTTTTAATATTGTAGCCTCAAACCTAACGTATTTGTGTCTCGTTTAACCTCGAAGTACTGTGTATTGGGCACGACTTATTTTTAGCTATTACACAATAATGTTGCTGTGAAATAATAATCAGTTGCTAGAGCAACGAATTTTAAAGGAAGGTCACTTCCAGTAATTGTAAAGAAACATACTAATAAATGGCAAGAATAGTTTGTAATGGGAATCTTAAGTCATCCGTCGTAACTAGATCATAGGTACTGATTATTAAAGTATTATTAAGTGTGCCACTAAAGTCTAGTTTTTTTTTAATATAACGTCTGGGAAGTTAACCGTGTAAAATAATTTTGAGGCCATGCGAGTATGTAGCGAGCCTTGAATACACTATTCAAAGTCACATTAGCATTCTACACTTCCTGGTGCGGCGTCTCAATATGGGTGGTCGGACAGACGTACCAACGTAATAAAAACAAAGTTGTAAGTACACCAATATTGGGTGGTTTTGTATGTAGGCCTCGGGTAGTGGTAATCGGAGCGCGATATTGAGGTTAAAGTGTTTCACGAGATTGCAGTTCTGAGAGTATGTGTTCACAGTTTGCATTAGCCTCCTTTGTTCGTCAGAGAGGATAAAGAAAGAAGGCCGAGCAGTTACAACATGCTCGCCTTGTACAGCTTTCTACTCTACGAGCGTGTCCCGACATTCAAATTTATTTCGCACTTAGATATCGTGACCGTGCCGAGTAGGTATGGCATAATTAACTCTCTCTTGCGTGGCGGGGACGTGGGTCGAACCAGTCACGGTTTCTTTTGAGGCGTAACATTCAACATAAGCATCTATTACCAACTTTCCATATTGTTTGAAATATTACCGCAACGGTGTAATTCAGAGCTAAACTGAAGTGAACGCAGCTGTGCAGTATGACATTAAAATTATACCTATTGGGGTCAAGTATAATACTGTAACTGGTTTCAATTGACATAGTGCGGAACTTATTAAAAGGCATTTACTGTTTCGAAATTACATGTAGTTAGTTACTAACCTGATCGTGCGGATAGACGTAAGGCGGGGGCAGCGGCGGTGGGAATTGCCATAGAGGCTGCTGGCGAAAGGCAAGAGGCTCCGGCTGGGGCACCGGGGCGGCTTGGAGCACCTCGGCAGGATGCACAGAGGCCGAATGCTCCTCCCGCTTGCGCAGCTTGCTGTGAACGATGCGAATCGCCATCATAGTACCGTTATTTCCAACCATTATGGCAAATGGTCCCTCAACGCAAGAATAACTGAACACACTGGGCTGGATAACAGGCAACAAGTTCCAGTCAGGCAGTCACAACATTTCAATTTCACAGTTTTCACTCACAGCCTTAAAGCGGTCTTATCGACGCGCGTAACTAATACTAATTAAAATAAATTATCACAATTATTTTAAAGGCTATTGCACATATCACTGTTCGTAGGAACACGCGGTAGACCGCGTTAGGCGAGCTTCAGCTGCGCGGTGACTAGAATGTTATCGTGAAGTGTGGCCGGCAGGTGCCTAGCAAAGCGCTCGCTCGTGCCAAACGACCTCTACGGAGTACTCCATGCGTCTGAGTTGAAGTGGAGGGGCGCTCATGGCTTTTATATCGTAGCGTCTGACGCGGCGCCAGGGAGGGGTAGGGTGACGCGAGGGGAGGATGATTGCGACTATGTGGCCGTTTTCCGCGAAAAGCCGGATAGCAGCGATGCCGTCGTTCTCATATCATAACGGCAATGACGCATCAACAGCCACACCGTTGGTTTGTCCCCCTTACCATAGCTATTAAATGAATTCAAACACCTTTAGATTTTAAAACCTAATCTGATTTGAGATTGACGGCTATAAGTGAAAAATAGATGTCATAAATTTGTGACGTTGTCACACATTTATGTGATGTAATTATTCGTGCGTTTGGAAACATTTCCATTTTATATCAGCATAATAAAACATGTATAATATAGTAACTAAACACAACATCAACATGAAAAAGCGTGGCAACAGAGCTACAATTATTACAATAATCGGTTAAACCATATTGATCGTACATATATTATATCCGAGGGAGACAACGTGCTACATTTCACCATGAATAGAGTTCAAAGTCCACATAACGTGAATGCACAGCGACGTACAGTTGCTATAGACATTAACTCACAGCTGGATCTATGGTTAACGTGTACGTAGCTGACACTCCGACTGCATCTCTTTCCGGCAAATACTTGCTAGCGTGTAAATGGAAAGGAGGTATGTATTTCGCACTTTCGGCGCTGAAAGCCAAAGTAGGGCTGCAGGGCAAGGGAGAGCGGGAAGGTGCAATGCCCTTAGTCCGCTCCCAACTCAAGCAAGCCTCTAGGGCTTTGACTTGAATGTGGGATAAAAAAACACAGGTAGTTAAACCAATATAAGTTGTTACCCTTGAGAAAAGTTTAAAGGATATGCCAAGAACATCTGTCTGTAGATATTATTAAATCGCATAACGAATCAAACAGTTCTCAAATATTCTTAAAGTTTAATGTTTTAATGATTTCACAAAGTAATGAATCTTGAAGTGAAATTGTGCTTGAAATGGTAAGAGCGTCGGAAGGAAAGTCACGTTCGCTCCGATTTCAAAACATTACAAAACACAAGTTTCAACCGTATTTGAGTCAAATACCACATTATCTATTTAAGTAAAGTCATGCTCTGATGTTTTATCTTAAACCATTTAAACTGCGTTGTAATAGTAGATTATATTTTAACATAAATGCCGCAATTGCATGTATGATCGCTTGACATCGAAACCTTGGCGCAATAACGAGTTCTTTGTTTTGACTGTGGCTTGATTTTTTGATTTAATACGTTGATAATACCAATAAAGGTCCATGTAATTTAAAACGTTAACTTCAAAGAACAGAACCATTAATTATTGAATCGAAAATTTGAACGGTGCGAACTGAATTACCCGAGAAAATTCATTCATATTAGTAAATAATTTAGTACGAAAATTCAAAACCATAAATCATAACATAGCCTAATATTAAGTGTGATGTTGTTTTCTTTTTTAATAAAAATAAAAATAATTCAGATTCTGTTAAACAGATTAGATTTAAAAGAACTTATTGACCTCTCTTTTACGTCAATTGGGGCCTATCGTACGTAGGTAGTACTATTATTTATTCTGTGCTATCGGTTAGTAACTTCGAGGTCTATAAAAATGTTCCAAAATTATTAACCTCAAGGTTGTTGTTATTTGAATACGAAGCACCGATAATTATGTTGCCACTTCATATCAACAAATTTGTATCAGTATTACAAAAACTGTTCAAAACTGTAAAGCAAGTAATGCGTCTATTAAACACGTATTTTTTATAGATTTCGTAAACTTATGTTTATTTTATATACATTTTATTTATTAATAGTATAAATTAATACAATATTAAATTATTAAGACATGTTCGTCCTCTAAACATACGCCATTAATGTAAGACACCCTAGGACCACAACTATTCCTAAAAGCCTTGAAAACATTTGCGTATAAGTATTAAAATAAATTGACAAAAAATACAAGTGTTCAAATAATGATTTTATTTACTTCATGAAGGTGCAAATCTAAGCCACAGACGTTTGTTGTAAATATTAACAATAAATTATTCCTAGCATGAAGATCATAGAAGTCATATACGGACTCGATTACAAAACGATAAAAGCGTTGGAGAGTAATTGATAAAATTATTAGCAGTGTTCATTCGATTGGGAAGGTTGACGTCAGAATTCTGATGGGAGTCAACAGGAGTACCTTTATTAATAATGTCAATAAATGCAGAGAGGATGGAAAACTAATGATAATGAATAATGATTGGTCGCAATGAGTGTTTAATAACTTGAAATATGAACATTTTAAACTGCGTCGAAGTTTGCAGTATGTACATAGTAGTGTTTGAGGATTTTATAATAATTCATAGGTTTCAATCGCGACGGTTTAGTTTTACACCAATCTTTGTGCATTATCTTTAAGCTATTGCTTAGCTCAGGTGATTGTATATTTAAAGTGTAATGTTTGTATAAATGAGGTCTTTAAGAGACAATTTTCTTGGTTTGTCATAAATGATGAATTTACCCTGTGTAGTTTAGTTTTGTAGGTCTTTTTAGCAACAATAGTTTCAAAAACGTAGAACAAACTGTATAATACCTACTATATTTCACGAATATGGTTAACGAATTATGATTTATAAAACGACCTATTTAAATCTGTGTAAAATTTGGCTTTTTTATACTTAAAACGTTTAGGAACTCAATTTTAGTTGATTAAGATTGTTATGAAGATAGTAAAAAAGAGTTATCAAGAAAGTTTTGTCTCTAAAATTGTTATAACAAAAGTTTTTTTTTTTTTTATTTAATATCGACAAAACTCGGTCTGAATTTGACTTGATTATTAGTTAGATATCGTAATAATGCGAAAACGTATTGGAGATACGAGTTTAACCCTATTTTTTTTCAATGAATTTGGTTCATTGAATCTATAATAAATATAGTATATGAGGGCAATATGGTCATCCGGTTAATAAGGTCACTTTCTTATAACTCAAAAACTACAGCCTTGTTTGCATAGAAGGCTCTGTGATACGATAGCTCTTCGCCAGTCAATCAAATAATAAAAGGTCAAATAGGCGCTGCTTCATCGACGCCATTATGACAGTTAAAATTATGGTAAATATTTTAGTAGATTTTAGTATTGTGTAGTGTAGTTAGTTTTTTTAAGGTGATTTTTCGAAGTGTTCCTAATTATTGCCAAAACTTGTTTGCAATTTTTTTCTTAATATATTAGTTATAGTATACTGTTATGTGTTTTTTGTCTTTTTCTGTCTTTCTTTGTCTCCTAGTTTTGGTTTTATAGTCACCCTCATGCACCTTACTCATAAAATATCTAGACAACAATCGCAAACGATCGAGCAACTGCCTGAACACAAACTTATTAGCAAAAATATTTAAAATAGGCAAAATGATATCGTGACATTGAGATGACAAGGTTCAGTTTATAACAAAGATTTAGAGTTAAGATCTTTGTGACAAAAACACAATATTCAAAACGATGTTAAGCGTGGCCCGTTGGTTGAGGTTTTTGGCATGGAATTTCAAATTTAGTAATAATGCTGTCAACGATCTTTTACTTACTTTTTAGTTGTTCTTTTATTTAAAAGTGTGTATCATTATTGGTCGACAAAACGTTTGCACGAATATTTGTCATTAAGTAAAAAGTTATTGAAAGGATTCGATTCGTCGATGCAACAAAGGCTCGCCTTTGCATAGTTTGGTAAATTATGTTCCGAATAAGATTCCGAAATTACGTAGGTATAAAACCACTGAGCTCTTATAAACCTTTCTGTCCGTAATTGACTACTTTATAGTAAGTTCGCATTTAATAAGTACATACATTTATCATACAGATTAAAATGGCTTAAACACATGATGTAGGTATGATGTGAGTTGTGTTTCATTTAATATCAACTCTGTTCTCCGGACTCACAAAACCGATTCTTGGTACATGGTACGGTTTTGTTTATAAGAACATGTCTGTTTTAACGTACACATCGGCATTGTGGTTATATAAATGAAAGAAAGTCATCACACACACATATGCAAAATCTCTCGTATCTGTGTTCAGTGTGTAGGTTTATTCGTTACCGATATAAGCGGAAGGTTGACATTTGGCTCATTTAAACAACCTTTTCTTAAGTTAAATACTTTTGAATTAGTAACAAGTTTCTCTTTATTTCTTGTTATTCCGCATGCTCCCAAATCAACTGGTTCAGTCAATGAATTTTGCGCCGTGACACAAATGTACGTTTCGAATATATTTAAAAACTTTAAAATGTATCTACCGACGATAGTAAATGTAAAGTTTGTAATCGGTAAGGATTTAAACTCGTTATTACAGTGCATTTTGTATATATTCAAAATTTAAAGACAAAACAACAAACAATAAAATGGTTACTTGAACAAAAAGTACGGTAAAAATCAAATTTCCAATAATTTCAAAGGCATTGTACCTTATATGGTGACCTTGCTTTTACATATGGTCATCGATCAATTCCTTTTGTGTTCCAGCTCTTTTTTATTTATCTCTACAAACTGACTCAGTTTACAGATTTGTCTGATTTTAAATAACAACGCACAACGAACAAAATCTCGAATCCACGCGGCGAA